CATGATCACACAGGTTGATATGTTCTTCCATGTGGGCTTTGTTGCTTCTGAGCTAGATGGCCGCTTGTTTACCTTTACGCCTTTAAGACCCCAGATGCTATATCTTTTGATAGCCGGGCACCATTAGCTTTCTTCACCTCATTTGCTTATTCACCCGCTTTGTCTTCAGCGGTTGTGTCGGGAAGGTGAGCATCATAGAATGCAAATTTAATAGAAGAACGTATTCTTGCATTGAGGGAGTACTTGAGTGGAGGCTCAATGTCCTTCTGCTACCTTAATACTAAACCTATAAATATAGGCACATAGATCTAGATGGGAGTAGAATGCTTCATTGTTCTCTTGTGGAGCGGCGGATTTCAAACTGCTGGCCTTGCAGTTAGCAGTCCACCACGTAACCCACTATACCACCAGGGCCCCCCTCTTTAATATATTAGGTGATGATTTCCCTCCGCTCTTTTCCTCCCTTACCCAAACTTAAAAAGAGAGCCTCAATCTTTTTATATGATCCTTTGTTTCAAATATTTGTCCAGACACTTTCCTCCAAATTTCAAAAAACTTTATTTTGAAAGAATGAGAGAAATAAGACAGAGAGGTATCAATTACCACAAACAATGACACGGAAGAAAATACAATAATTCATATTCTCCCCACACACGACCCCCCACCCCTTTCCCCATCCCTGGCACAATAATATTAAAACCATTGAAGCACAGCTAACAAGGAGAAACAGCAGTATGTAATGAAGAAAGCAAATAGTCATACTGCTCAATCCAACCAACCCTCATCAAATGTCCTTCCCTCAGCAGAACTCCACCCACTGGAATGATACAGAGGTGTGGAAGAGAGAGGGCGGGGGTGGGGTGGGGTGGGTGGTGTTGGGGGTTCGAACTCTGCTAATCCGAGGGAAGAGTCAGTGGAGAACCAATAGGAGCAGTGAATCTGTTTGGCAGGGAAACAGTGGCTACAGTTCCTCTATCAAATTTCAGATGATTCAAGAGAACAGCGAGGGTTTGAGATCCTCAGACTTCTAGGAGGGCTAACCCCTGCTCCGTCAACCGCAACAGTGTAGTAGCAGCTGTCAAATCCTGGTTAGCTGCTGAGAACAGCGGAAGTGAGGCCGCTTTGCACTTGGACTGTTTCAGTTTCATACTGGAATTTAAGAGGCTTAGTAGCTTGGGCTTGGAGGAAGATGCAAGCTGAAACTTATTATTTTATCACTTCCATAATAAGACAATCTAGTGCAGCGGTTCTCAACCTGTGGGTCGCAACCCCTTTGGGGGTCAAACGACCCTTTCACAGGCGTGGCCCGATTCATAACAGTAGCAAAATGACAGTGATGAAGTAGCAATGAAAATAATTTTATGGTTGGGGGGTCACCACAACATGAGAAACTGTATGAAAGGGTCACAGCATTGGGAAGGTCATCTGGTGGCTGTATGTATCCTTTGTTTTCCTTAAAACCATGTGGATAATTGAAACAACTTGACATAGAGCCTAATTAATTTGGCATATTTTCCAGTGCCTCAATTTGAAGGAACTTTTCCCTAAAGTTGTACGCCTACAGTTTGCAGCATAATCTACCGAGGGAGTGTTCTTCCATGGGAATCCCTGTAGGGCTTTCTTTATAGGAGGTTTATTTTATTCAGGCTTTGTTGGGATCAGTCTATAAAGGGAAGGATACTTGTGCAGGATTAGTTCAAGACCAGAGCCTTCTCATGCACACGTGCTTGCGTGCGCACACATCCAGTAGTTAAGCACATATTCCCCCACGCCATCTTACAGTCACATGCTTGCTGGAGTCCATTCACAAATACACACCAATAGTCGCTGTAAACATTTACATGCAGCAAGATGTGAGCGTTGCCCCAGAGGGCTTACAGGCGGTGCACAGATGTCTATGTGGGGAAGTCATTTTATGGTATAGATGGACACAAGCCAATAGGGTCATTAACTTGCAGATTATTTTTATATATTTTTCCCTTTCCCCCAAGATAGATAAATCAAATGAGAAACACACACTGACATCTTCCTGGGTGTCATGGAGGCAACTGCCTGGAAGGTCCACTTTGTGTACTTCCATTTTCCTATGACACCTTCACTTTACCCTGCGGAGCCTTCTCATATAAGGAGGGCTTCTCCTCAGCATTTCCCTGCAACGACTTCTCAGAAGACCGGTCTTCGGGCTTCCGGGCAATCAGCAGGCGGCACGTGAGCAGGATCCCAAACACCAGGGCGTGAGCATAGCGTTTCAGAGGATCCCCGACCAGCTGGTGAAAAAAGAGCACCGCCAACACCAGCAAGAGCAGGAAGAAATTGGCCACATCTTTGGGACGCCCGGGCACAAGGGTCATGACGATGCCACAGGCCACCTCAAGAGCTCCAATGCTTTTGCGGAGAAGAATGGAATTGATCCCCATTTTCTTCAGCAGAGGAAGGGCTCGCACGTAACTCTTGTAAGCTCGTTTCTAGAGTGAGAAGGCCATAAGAAAATCATTGTATTAGCCGTGACTTGAACACCAGACCGAAGAAAACACAAGCACTAGCCTTCTTCCCCTTCCACACCAGCCAAGAGGGTTTACATTTCCTTAGTGTGCCCCCTAAATAAAAGTCATATCTAAAATAAAATATCTCCCCCCACGGTTCTACCCTGCCCCCCAGGGTCATTGTGAGTCAGGATGGACTCAATTGTAGTGAAGCCCTCTCTTGAGAGCTCTGTGATTTACACCTTGGCATAGTGAGTGACTACTTGGGCTGTTAATCACAAGATCAGCAGTTTGAAACCACCAGCTGCTCTGCAGGAGAATGATGAGGCTTTCTGCTCCCATAAAGATTTAAAGCCTTGGAAACACAGAGGGGTAGCTCTCTTCTGTCCTATAGGCTATAAATGAGTCAGAATTTACTCGATAGCAGCAAGTTTATCAAAGAAAATAGGCAGATGAAAAATCTAATACATCAACAGCTTTTAAGAATTACAAGAAAATTCACAAAAAGCCTCTTCCACATTTGTAAGTGTCTGCTTTCTCCAAACCTGGGTACCATCCAAAATGAAACAGGCCAGGCACAAGATATAAAGCTTCACTAATTTTGACTCCCCTAATTTGAACTCTGTGATCATTCAGAAAAGTGCTGAACTGAAATGTATATTTGTGGGATCTGTAAAAGAAATATAACTGTTTTCTAAGCAAATGCAAAAATAAAAATGTGTGCGAACTGTAGCCCTTTATATATATGTATTTATATATATTTATATATAATATATATATTTAAATACATATATTTAAATATAGTAAGACAAAATCATTCTCATACTAATTTAGGTAAATCCCCAGTCCTATACAAGATACTACCCTGGTTAGTCTAGTTCCAGTTCATTTAATTCAAACAATATGTATTGAACACCTACTATGTGTCATGCGTTGGAGATACAAAGATGAATAAGACAGTGTCAAGAAGCTCTCAGTCTGGTGAGGAGAAACAGATACGTTAACAACATTGTATGATAGAGGTTTGCACAAGGTCTAATGGCAGTTCAAAGGGGGACATTATAGGATAAAGGGACAAGTTACTGGATATCTTACAAAGTACAAGAATTCTATTGCATTTAGAGTAATAGCTAAATCATATTTTTCACTATTTCAGACTGGCTTGATCTTTATTTTGAAGCAAACTGATGAGATTTTAATGAGCTTGTGCTATTTCTTTGCTTTGTTTTTCTTAAGTATCCATTAGATGTTTATTAAATGTCTACTTGTGGTAGACGCTGTATAAAGTGGTTGGGAGACAGATTTCAATTGATCAAAAAGGCTCAGCCTTCCTGAAGTTTGAGGTCTATAAGTGGAAGAACAGATATATAAATACATAAATACAAAAATGTATTATGGGTGTTGGAGAAAATCATGTAGTGGGCATAGCAGAGGTACACCAGAAGGAAAGTAGTCCAATCTCCCTAGATGATGGCTGAGAAAAATTGGAGTGGAATCTGAAAAGACAAGACAGTGTGTACAAGACCAGGAAGGGAGGGAGGGGGGCATTGCAGGCAAAAGGAGCTGGATAAACAAAGGTCCAGGCAACACCAAGTAGACAGGTGCCCTGATGATACTTTCAGCATAGGTTAAGGAAGATGAGACACTTCTCTCATGGCATTTCCCACTACCTTTCCGAAGCCCCATCATTTGTTGTGCTATAAAGTTGGAGTTTATCCTCTTTAAGCAAGGGGGAATGACCCAATCGATTTGCTTTTTAGGGCTGTTCTACTGAAAGCTAGGTGAAGAATGGATTGGGAGAGAAATGCCTAGCAGTAAAGAGACCAGGTGAGAGACCTGGACTACAATAGTCTCAGTGAGGAAGAAGGGATGAGGGCAGAATCCAAGATTATTTGAAGGTAAAATCAGTAGAACTTGGAGTTTGTTGTAGGCGTATGCTAAGGAGAAGGAGAAGTCAGGAGGATTCTCATGTCTCTAGCGTGAGTGCCTCAGATTTTGTTTTCGTTTCTGAGTTGACATGTGTAAAATATCTACGTTGAGATACCTGGTAGACAGTTGAATAAGAAGGATCTGGGATAAACATACAGAACTTGTCCTACATGATATGGGTGTGGACAAGATTGCCTTAGGACAGTGGTTCTCAACCTGTGGGTCGCGACCCCTTTGGGGGTCGAACGACCCTTTCACAAGGGTCACCTAATTGATAACAGTAGTAAAATGACAGTTATAAAGAAGCAACGAAACTAATTTTATGGTTGGGGGGGTCAACATAACATGAGGAACTGTATTAAAATGTCACGGCATTAGGAAGGTTGAGAACCACTGCCTTAGGAGAGTATTTAGGTGAAACCATTTGTGTGACAGAACATTGCAGCAGTGACAAGAGGAAAGGGGCTCTACAGAGCAGACAAAAGAAATTAGGTGGAAAGACATGGGTGTCAAGAGGCGTTTCAAGAAAAGCAGAGTCAAAGCACCACATGGAAAACCAACTCTCTCTCCCAGAGCATGTGGCACTTACAACAGGATTCTAGACACTCTATGTTTAGAACAAATGTTAAGTCACTTTTCTCCCTTCTGGACAAGTGAATACACCTTTACCTTATGAGTTATCATGAGTGATAGAAGATATGACAATGTTCTCTGAGGATTGTCGAAAGACGGATATTTATTTCAAATCCCAATTCTGCTTTCCAATTGGGTGTTCATGGGCATAAACTATGAATTTCAGTTTCCTGAGCAGGGCAGATGACGTGAGGGAGCCTACTTGTGTTGGGGGCAAAATTTAAGAGGATGCCAAAAAAAACTCACTAATCATAAGTAACACCCATGCTGAGCAAAATAGCAAATTTGTAAATAAAGGCAGGATCTACCCTCCCCCTCCCCCCACACACACACTTGCCGCGCACCCCTCTCGCCTCTCTCTAATTCTGGTCATGTCTAATCCTGACTTCATTTTAAATTTCACACACACACACACACACACACACACACCCGTCATGTCTAATCCTGACTTCATTTTAAATTTCACACACACACACACACACACACACACACACACACACACACACCCTGACTTTATTTTATTCCTGAGCACACAGGAAACTGTTCGTTGTTCTTCCTTCCTCTCTTAGTGTAAACCTGTGTATTTTTAGAGCCAACTTTGGAGAAAATTTGACCAGTAGGTGGAGTGTCGACCTAGCCTGCTAGGAGTCAGATGCTGGCAGAGCTGGGCTGAGGGTTAGGAAACCAGGTGATGGAGAGAAACCTCCCCCTTTCCTTTCACTATTAATTTCCACACAACCTGCCCACTCCCTCCCCTTCTGCGCTCTGCTGATGGGAACAGGGGGACAATGAAAGCAAGTTACCTAGAGCAGAAGGCTTCCTAAAGGCTCTGAAGTATGGACTATCCTAAGAAATAACACAAACCTCCCAGGGAGGCAACTCCTAATTCCCAAGTGTCCGTTGTTGACCTGGTGAACAAGGAGGAAAGAGGTGTTTCGTGCTGTGCCTTATGAGTGAAGACTTTAAGATGCTAGCTGAGTTGCTCTGGGAAATGCTTTTTTTTTGGCTAAGGCTAACCACAGCAAATTCTTACCTTAACCGGTACAGTATACTACAGTGGAATCTGTAGCCCTAAGGCCAAATTACTGGTCTTTAAATCAAGTTCTATGGCTTCAGTGGTCTTTGTCCCTCTCCATTTTATATCAATGCATATTATGGTCTCAGTTGCTTAGCTGACCCGCTAGACAGCAGCTGTCGATATTTTTATGCAGCGGTAACCTCTTTCTTTCCTTTCTACAAGAGGAAACTGCCTGTGGATAAGGGCTTTCATCAAATATTTAGTTCAAAGCTGAGTAGGTACAGACAACATCGATGCGTCTCAGGATTCCAGACAGGGGAATGCTCAGTTTGTCAGAGATGGTGCTAAGCTTGGATGGCTTTTGACATTACAGGGAGCACCCCCCTTTCTTTAGCCCCAGTGGAATAGGGGGTGGACATTGAGAACACGGAAACCAAACTCACTGCCATTGAGTCAATTCTGACTCCTAGCCACCCTATAGGACAGAGGAGAACTGCCCTTTTGTGAGGAAATTCTGCCTCATCTTTCTTCCAACGAATGGCTGGTGATTTCAAACTGCTTACCTGGTAGTTAGCAGCCCAGGAGTACATAACTCACTATGCCATCAGGGCTCCTGCCAAATGCCATCATTCAGCTTAGTCCCAGTTCTGATTATGGAACGGCCACATATCTTGAGGCTATAGTATGTAGTCTCATGTGTGGAGACTGTTGACGTCTGAAAACCATAATTATACTGATAATAAGAATAAAGAGAGTTGACTGATTCATCCCCAAAAGACTGTTGCATCTCACATTAAGTCTGTTTCCTTTCCATTGCAAAGACGCAGACCTTGCACCCTCGTCTCCTTATAGGGGAAGGAAGCAGGAAAGACAAGGGTTCCAGATCCCCAAAGGCAGTCACATTCTTGAACTAGAACTCTTAATGTAAGCTAATTTCCAATTTTAGTTTTGCCCCTAAGTTGCGTAGAGAAAGTGGTTAAGAGCTTCTTGCCCCAGTTTCTCTTTGGGAAAATTAAAAGAACGTTTTGGAGCATCAAAGCAGCATCACATCAACTGGGGACCACACTAACATTTTATCAGTAATGAACTAACAATTAGAAATGCATACATTTGCAGGCCACATAGGAATACTCTGAAAATGCACCATGCTATATATTTATGCTATGTGCATAAGTGTTTCAATATTGTAAACTGTTTGTTTTTATATCATTTTATTAGGAGCTCATACAACTCTTATCACAATCCATACATACATCAATTGTGTAAAGCATATTTGTATGTTCATTGCCCTCATCATTCTCAAAATATTTGCTCTCCACCCAAGCCCCTAGCATCACCTCCTCATTTTTCCCCTCCCTCCCCACTCCCCCCTTTCTCATGAACCCTTGGTAATTTATAAATT